GGAGCCCGGTGTCTCCCCTAACACACTGTACCAACTTGCAAAAACACAGCTTCCTTCTCATGGTTGAGCCAAACCACTCTCTCTAGAGAGAAAGGCCCAAATCAGCTATCCTGAGCTGGATCCCTTGGAAATCTTCCTCTTTCCCCTGCGCGCAGGGCAGAAATAGGTCCTTGACCTGAAGCTCTGTCATTGCATCCTTGGCACAGTAGCCAAAGGGCTAATTCAGAAAACTAGAAGTTGACTCAGCACGGGTAGCAGGCTCGTCCTTCCCACAATCTAGGTCTGAAGAGGCACTGACCCTTGTGTTCAATTCTGCCCCCACACAGCACCTGCTCCTTCCACACTCCACTTTATTCTAGCTCTGTGCAGAGCTGAGGGGTCACAGTAGGGCAGGAGAGCTGGCCAGAATGCATGAAAGAGTAGACCAAGGCTCTAGACCTGGCTCTGTTACTGACTTGCTGTGTCATCTTGAGGAAGACCCAAACCTCTTGGTACTTCCATGTCCCCTCAAAACGGTGAGGAACAGAGAAGTCCTTTAAACTCTAGTGATCTGTGGGTTTGCAACATAAATCCTGGCTGTAACGAAGAGATGTCTTGCCACAGGCGTCTCAAGGTTTTATTTGCAGGGAGAGATGTTTCCATCGGATCTGATTTTGTTTTTCCCGCATCTGGTTAACCAGTTGTTCCTGCTGCCTTATGGAAAAGTCCATCCTTTCCCCGGTGATTTGTCACGCTGTCATTATGTATCCAGACCAACTTCCATGCTCTTTCATCCCATTGGTCTGTTGTCTATCACTGTACCGGCACCATGTTTCTTTCACGTAAATCTCAGGATCTGGTAGAGTGAGTCTCCCATCTTGCTCTTCAAAATTATCTTGGCTTTTGTTTGCCTTTGGTTCTTCCATATATTTTAGAATCTCCTTATCAAGTTCTACACAAACCCTGTTGGGATCTTGTTTGGAAGTGTGATACTTAGTAAGAGCTGACAATTTCATGATACTGAGGTTTCCTGACCACAGCATTTTTTTTGAGAAGCAGTGGAGTGTAGACTGGCCTCTGAAGTCAGACCTGGCATAGAGTCCCAGCTCTGTGATAGGGGACAAATCACTTCACGTCCATGAGTCTCAGTATCCTCAACTCTACAACAGGGATGATAATGGTCACTGATGGTCATGGGGGTTAAATGAGATAACACCTGTAAAGCACTTAGCACGGTTCTTAGCATATAGTAGGTGCTCAATGAATAGAACCTGTTGTTGGTAATGACTGTCCCCTTCTCCTCTCGCCAAGATTTATATCTGCTTCCTGGGTGCTTTGCCAAGGATACTTCTCCCTTGCAAAAGCTATGGACTTGTGGGAGTGATGAGATGTGCAATGTCCTGCCCCTTCCCAATATCTACCTTCATACTGTCCTAGGAGCTCAGTGTCCAGGGCTGTACTCCTTCTTCAGGCTCAGTGAGGCACTGGAGGTGGCAGTTGTTCTTTGTTGGAGGAGGGCAGGGGATGGCAGCAGGGGTCCAAGATCTTGGGTCCCCAGTTCTGGGCCATTTTGGAGGGAACTAGTTTGCTGGAACCCCAAGCTCTTGGCCAGGCCCAGGTGGGAAGGATAGACAGCAAGGGAGACACAACTGGGATGATAGACAAGATGGAGTAGACAAAGACAACATCCTGGAAGAGGATAGAGGGGCAAAGCCAGAAGTCCCTTGAAGGTTATCCTGTCATGCTCCTGCCTCCAAACTCATCGGTGCCTCAAGCCTTTCAGACAATTTAGGATTGGGGCTAGTGATGGCTGTGCTCACATTGCAAGATTTTCCTGGGTACACTACCTTCTGTCTCTTCTTCTCTTGTCACCTTCTTCCCTTCTCTGGCCAGCCAGAAGAGGGGCTATGAGAGCCCCCCAGAAGAGGATAGATAGAAAGGGTATATGAGGGTACTCACCAGGAAGACTGAAGGCTCCATCCCCAGTAAATAGCAGTTAGCAGTAAAAGCCACTGGATGCCCATGGCTCTGCCCATGTTGATGGTCCTGGAAAGCACGGATAAGGAGTCTCAGCTTGAACAGGGGAACAGACAGCAGCTCCAAGACAGTGAGGCACTGCTGGCACTGGTGCCATCTCTCATCTGCCTGCTGAGTTACCACCCCACCCCCAGCTGTCCAGACTCCTTCCCAGCTGGCCCCAGGGGGTGCTTTACGGGGCTGGAACCAATGCAGACCAGAGGGGGATGGAGGGTGGATTTTCTCATTAGTTGCAATCAGTGGGCCTCTGGGGACTCCCATTCCAACTGGTGAATATCCCTAAGGCCCCTAACTGTTAGCCTTTGTTGAACAGCTGGGCAGAACTCTCGGCCTTCCAGGCTTCTCCCCAACCCAACCCAAGGGAATCTGAGTCTCAGGGACGTGGATGATCTTACTGGTCTCCCAACTCTTGAGCTAAAAGTTGGCCATTTGATTTTAGAGCTGGAGAGCAATCTCCCCCTCGCCCCACTGCACAGGTGGGAAAAATAAGGCCCAGTGACTTACCCAAGGATGAGAATCCAGTCCTCCAAGGCAGTTCTTCCTATTGCCCATGACTTCTGCAGCTCTCTCAGACTCTCTGCATTACCCAGCTCAGGAATTTGCTGTGGCTCTCAATGGTCTTTAGTGTGAAGGTCCCAAGACCTCACAGGTCCTAGGTTCCCCACTAGACCTCATTCACTGGACCCACAGACTCCTCCTGCTATCTTCCAGCAAGTTCCAGTGCCCCTCTCTTCTGAAAAGCCTACCAGGACCCATGCTTTGCCAGTCACTCTCCATTGCCCCAGCATAAAACTGCTTGTATTTGCACGACTTGATCAATGGTGACCTCAACAGACTAGGGCTCCCCAGAATAAGGACCACTCTTCTCTACCTTCAGAGAGGGAGGGTAGGGCTGTCTCCATCAGACCAGGCTCCTAACCATGAGGACCAAATTCCCACCCACTGCCACCCCCCCTCCAACAACAACAACAAAAAAATTAGAACACTAAGGGCAGAGATTATATCCCTACCATTAAGTCACAAATTTTCAGGGTGCAGATTCTCTCTCCCATTAGATTAGAAGCTCTAGAGGGCTGTCAGTAACTCTCCCACCAGACAAACAGGCTTTTGGCAAGAATTGCCCCAAGGGGTTTGTAGAGCCACCATTCAGACATATTGATCCCAACGCAAAATTTTATTGTCAATACACAGATGCCTGGCCCCACTGGCCTCACCTTTCTCCTCTTGGTGCTTAAGCCCACTTAGGCCCCATCTAGCTCTGGCCTAATGCAGAGGACCAGGGATGCCCATCCTTAGGACAAACCCTGGCTGCCTTAGCCAGCACCCCCGCTAGGTGCTCATCCTTGCTGTGGGGCTCCCTCTCTCATCCAGCATCCTTGTCCATCTGAATTCCTCTGAACCTGGGGCTCACAGGTACAAGCCCTGGACATGCCACCCCCTTCTCAGCCCCAGGCATCTGCCGAGGTGTAAGGGAGAGGACGGGCTCAGACCAGGCTGTGCCAAGTCACACTAGAGGTGCAGGAAGATGCAGCAGCTGGGTGTGCGCGCGCAGGTCCCTTGGCTCCCGTCCTGCCTCTCAGCGGCTGGCCTTGTGTTTGTTAAGGAGCAGGTTTGTGTTGGATTCTTGAACCTGCAAACCAAGGGGTTTTCTTGTCGATCCCTCACCTTCACATGGCAAACACTGCCTTGCTCCCCTCCCCTCCTGGCAGCTACCCTGCCAGACCTCCCAGGGAAGTCCTTCATATGTCTGACTCTAGCTGCCTTAGTATCCACTCTGAGCTTGGGAGCCCAGTCTGTGGACATTCACAAGGCTCCAGGCCATTCTAGCCCAGTCAGGTGGTTTGGGAAGTGGAGAAAGGAAATTAAGGTATGTGGGTGTGTGCCTTTTTCTCCCTAAAAGCTTCCTCCCTCAGGAGGAGGCTGTGTGTGTGTGTGTG